TCAATTCACTGGATGTAGTAGAGAGGTTCCATCTGCATACAAAAGCATTTAAATGGTCTTATTTTGTGAGTTACTTGGTACTTTTTGCATGGTGTGGATCATCGGTCTGGAGTACCTGTATCCAATTCATACGTTGTTATTTGTATTCCATTATGGGACAACTAGGTTCTACTCCGCCAGATTTCCTTTTGAACGGACGTTAGCTTCATCGTGACGCGCAGTGCTTAGACCGTTGTACTGTTTACAATATGTCACGACTTTGAAAATATTCCGTCGCAGTCACAGCGTACATGTGTACTGAATTTGTACGCGAGAACTGCGTTACCAGCCACGTGGTGGTTGGAATACCCTTTTATTCTTATTCGCTTTTTGCTCATCCGGAATGAAACGAAAATGAGCAGGTAGTTGGGGTATAGGATAAGTAGGCTTATCGGAGCACCGTATCCATGTCTTCGGTTTCACAGTTCACGTAAGCGGCTGCGGAGATATTGGGAGACAAACTGCTGGAACGCTGGAGTTGTACCAGGAGCTAATGCATTACCGTATATATATATATATATAATATATATATATATATATATATATATATATACGCATTGAAATCATGGGCATTCTAACTCCCTACGTGTCAACATATATACGAAATATATCCACCTTGTTTTCTATACACATTTGCTTCATTTATTCAGTCAAGGTTATTTGTACGCAATAGGTTACTATACCGACTATGTTGTCGAACACATTAGACGTGATGTTTACATAGGGTTTGGTCAACGTACAGAGATGCGTTTCAGAGAACATCCTTGTTAGCGACAGCAACATGGGACTCCTAATCTTGATGGTTAAAATGGCCACCAAACAAGTACCTACTTGTTACTACACCAGCCGCAGTATTAACCGGAAACCTTTCCGTCAAACAATCCGGTCGTGCGATTGTAATGATTTCTTTCTCTGCAACAATGCATGCAAAGGCGTGGAGCGCTTCTATCATTAGTTTCAGCAAGCCATAACCCTATTTGCCAGACAGGAAAATGGAGTCAGTGACGTTTAAGAAATGTAGCCATACGTTCGACGATTTAGCAATCTAGCCAACTGATCACACGCTAAAAACGGATGGGATATTGTGCAATGGTTTTACTGGTGCACCAACTCAGCTTTGAAATCAAGCACCTACAATTGATCGGGAGAACACATGAAGATCACACAATCTTACGAAGGACATTTAGAGCAAAAGAGCTGGTCCGATTTCTTCGTCGAACAATCAACAACCGCACTTCATTGATCACTGAGCTGGTAGACGACATCCAAGCGCACTTAGCTCTTTCTTCTCTATCAACAAAACCCTTGACACTAATGCTATAATTACACTTAGACTCCATCTAATGTGATATTGCTCTCCGCAATATACGCCAAGCAACACATTCTATTCAACCGTGCTCAATTCTGGAAGCTGATGGTATCCCCCCATCCGCCATGAGGCTGGGAGGGCCTGATATATCACTGCTCCTTTTGTAGGTACTTGCCGTTTCACTGGAATCCAAGTAATTTGCAGCTCAATGGAAAATTTCATTTATCAGCCCTTGCCACAAGGCTGCGCAAAACAGGAGATTGACAAATAAAGGCCAAGTCATGAAGCTTCTATAATATTCGGATTATTCGTGAAATTGGTAAAACGTGTGAGGAATTTCATCAACTCACTGGAGCTCATGGACAGGTTCTAACCTGCTTTACTTAAGTAACGATCGTACACATTCTGGTAGTTGTATTGCCTTAACTACATACCGGACTCCATTGACTCAAATATGCCATATTAACTCCATGTTTGGACATGCAGAAAACATTCGACCGAGTGTCTCACAAATGGTTACTGATTCAGATAGACTTCTTTGAAGTCCGCAACAAATCAACGGCTTGGCTTTCATCATACATGAACGATCTTGTTAAAATGGTCACCTTAGGCAACTATTGCTATTCCCCACGTCCAATTACCAGCGGGGTTAAACAAGGATGTGCACTCGGTGCGCTAATGTCTCTGCTTTGTGTCAAGGATAGCAGTTCGGTTAACAGACATGTCGTGCCGTTGTTGCTGTTAATTATATGACAATTGTCCACAAGTACCGAGAAATTGAGCTTCAGAATTTACTACCACTCTTTCAAGCATACATTCATTCGTTTGCGACTTGATGCGACGAGTGGATGATGACGTTTTAAGCACAACATTTGTTGCGGTATCTTGACACCCGAAGTATCGATCATACGTAGCAGCGAACGCATCTGTGTACAACGGTCTACCCGTGACCTTGGAATCAGATATTCTTGTACCTCCATGTTCCTAGAACAGATAGAGTATCAGATAGCACGAGCCAGACAATACGTCGCTAACATCTCTCATGAAATGCATATAATCACAGCCACATTTGAACTATTTATACTCCTTAATCGTCCTATCCTGGAGTACCGCAGCATACACTGAGGAAACATGAGGAAACATGAGGAAACCAGACAGAACATCGATAGAAAGCCTTCAGCGGTCATTTAGTTAGCAGATATTGAGAAAAATGCTATCATAAACTCTCAGAAGCGATGCCAGCAACTCCATCTCGACCCGCTTTGGCTGTGAAGACTAAGAGAGAAATTGAGACTACTGCACAATCTTAGTCCTGACAATACCCACTGCAATCGATTCACCTGAACATTGAAGAACAATTACACGCGAGGCCTAGGTAACAAAGACATTACCCTGATTATACCATGATGCAAGACAAATTTGAGATCTATCTTTCCTCTCACCATATATGATGCTCTGTGGAATCAGCTGCAATTGAGCATCGCGTTGTGTAAATCTGTGCCATCGATTTCGCAGTAAGTTGGGAAGCCACCTCTACCTGGACACCATTATGTCCTTGTTTTCGTTGGGAAGGTCACTAACATATTCATTCAATATAAATGTAGATAACGTCTAATGGGTGTAATACCACCACTTCATGCGATGTAATTAGTCCTCAGTGTCTACAACATACCCAAACTGCAAATTTGCCTCCTACCATCACAGAGGACAAACATGTGGGGCAAATACCTTGTTAAAAATGCAGAGAAATATAAGAAGATAACTTGATATCGCTCTTGCAAGAGCATGACATCACCTGTGCTTGTAGGTCCTGTGGCAATTATTGTCGCAGCTATACACTTGATGAGATTTATGCGCAGTATTATTATTAGTTTATAATAATGATTACTTTCATGCGGTATATTGGTACGACCAGAGGGGATATTAACCTGGCGTTTAAATGTGCCACTGGTACTGTGCACCTTGTATGGAGCACATATTGTGCGCTCGATACGTTACAGACTACTCGGACAAGCGCTAGAAATTCGGCACAGGGACATGGGCTACCGTCTGGGTCAGAATACGTATCAATGGTAACTCTTCCCGATAAAAGATCTGTTAAAGAGGTGTTGAGGGAGAAAGAGCAAACACCACATCCTAGGTTGATCAGCTACAGTCAGACGTACTGTTGGTGACCTCCCGCATTGATACTCTCATCTCTATCTGCCTTCCGTTAACATCAATGTATCAACCTACTCGGGAGCATACCAGTCCCTCATAGACGCATACATCTAGCCCTGTGCTTACGCACAAGGAATCCTATTGAGTAGGGTTTCATGACCAATGACAAATATCACTGATATTGCGTGGATGTAACCCTTCAGGGAGAGAATGAATTGATGAACTCGTGAACTTTAATGAACAAAATATTATTTGATTTTTTACAAGCTATCTTATAAGAACTATGCGTGATTTTACCTGTAAGATGTATAAGGGGGATGCAAATACAATAACTAGCTGTCTAGTATATTCGCAACAGTAAGAGTAACGTTCAGGTAATGTGGTATATCTACCCCTGTTCACAGGGCTACCTGCTTGTGAATCTGAGCCAAATGACTTTGAATGAAACGAAATAATTGTTTTAGAACTTATCAAACATGCTAGCTCACATGAACAGTTTTCTGAGGTCTCCTTGAAGGTACGCTGGAAATTAAGAGAGCCACGAAACGAATGAATACTTCTATAACATAGATAGATTGCTTTTCTTATTGTATCCGTACAACAAACCGTATGAACAGGTGTACTACTGCATTTATTCCGCCGAGACTGACCGATACCATTAACTCAGGAGACATAAGTTGTTTTTCAATGCTTATTTCCATCTTTTAACAATTAGTATTTGTTCTGTTCACAAACCCAAAGTGTCTTAGCATGATAGCCTGACATTTTTCAACTCATGTAACTGACTGTAGTGCGTCAGAATGTCGCGGTAGCAAGTCAACAACCAAGTTATTTTAGAGCGCAAATCACGCTCTGATCATTGTTGCCCCTTCTCTTTTATTTACCACTTCGTCTTCGGTATTGTTGTAGTAGCCACCTATCATGTGCTTTCAAGCCATCCAGCTTGTCGACTCACACTCGGTCCTCTATCTGCAGCTGTGACAGTACCGCCTAGCTAGCCGGAGACGTGACCCAAGCACACCGTTCATCCAGTTCCGTCACTTACTAGGTGGTTGTCCAGCCGCCTACGAAGTAGCTTTTTCAATTCAGCCCACTCGGTCTACTACGACCCACCTACACTCCAGACACGGAAGCCCACGGAACCCACGATCGGATGCATGATTTACTGACTACCAAACATTTTCAACTGAATACTGACAATCGCTGAAATTACAGAACCTCTTGGTTCGTTAGTTAAAGCATACACGCATCATCCCATAATGTTGCCACCCTCGGTGCAAAATGAACCGGAACTCGGAGACTTCCGCTTGCCTCAAATATTAGTGCATGTATAGTTTTACGAGTACACTACTTGTAAATGAGAAACATCCTTGAAATTCAATGTCTCCGAGATATGGTATACATATTTGTAACGTTTACAGTATTATTAGAAAAAATATGCACATCAAAAGTGTGGCTAACTCACTAAATTATAGAACTGAGCATCCAAAGTCTATCCGAACTCGCTGGCAAGTTCAGCATTGGATGTCCTCTCTGAATTGGTCAGCTGCTGCTCCAGCTTGGTCAAGCGACGCTCCAGCTGGTCTAACACAGGGATGCTTTGGTCGTGTTCATAAGTGGACCAGCAAAGTAAATGTCTGCCGTAGTTCCGCTGTCGTTCAACGAGGCCACGGAGTACACGAGGACCGACCATTTCTCTTTGCTCACTGCTCGCCCTGCCACTGCTGCACGCATCTGGGATGGGATAATCGGAAGAAACATCTGGTTTTGGCACTTTTGGAGGTATGCTTGAGTATAGACCCAGACGGCAAAGTTCCTCTCGTGAACCGGCCACGACCGCTCTCCTAATCTCGATCAGTTCATGCAAACGATCCAGAGAAGACATTCTGTGTTCTTTTGGTGGTGAACATGAGGGATCCACACCAGTTGGCATCACTGGTTTGTACAATATAAGCTGGGATCCATGCACAGGTCCAGACAAATAGTCGGTGACCTTGTTCTTGAGGCAATCAGAGCTTTGATAGATTCGGTTCAGCTTGTTTTGTGCACTATCCACGGGAAACGTTTGGCGGGCTTCCTGCTGTGTGTGTTCCACACTCTGCTGATGCCCTTTAGACGTCATGGAGAGAACCGACAGTTGTCTTTGCTGCTGCTGCATCAAACGCTGCATGGAAGCAGTGAGCATTGTTTGTCTTTGATTGAACCTTTCCGCTGACTGCAGTTGCCGGAGGACTTGTTTCAACTGTGCCTTCAACAGTAACACTTCACTACGTAAGTTGTGCAGTTCTTCCGTTTTGGCTGTACCTGCGCCTTCTGTTGGCTTTTCTTCTTCCCTTTGGACTTGCGGAATCTGTGCGAGTAGACCTTCGACACGATTGCAAGCTTGCGTGAGGCGGCTTTCAACAAGTCGCTCCCAAACTTTCAGGCGCTTCTGCTCCTCTGCAACGGAAGTCAGAAGTGAACTAGAGATGGTATGTTCACGTGATTCTGTTGCAGGATTCTGTTCTGTCACTTGGACAGAGCGAGTATTTTTAGTGGGGTGTTCTTCAGGTGCTGCTGTTCCGACACTTCTCGTACAGGCCACGGAGTTCGGAGCGGTGGTATTGTGCACCGTAGGATGCAGATCGCGCTGTAACTCGTCACAATAAGTCGTCTGTCTACAATGATGCGCCTCCTTGAGAAACTGCGGTGCACTCTCGACATCTAACCGATCTGACACGGCGTCTTCTGTTGTGTTGGAGTTCAGCCCTGTGGAGCTCCAAGTTTCGCTGTACCGACCGTGCATGTCCGGTTTCTCGTCCGTGAGAAGTTCCGAGTTGCTGAACAACGTCTCCGTGACAGTATAGCTGGGCAAACCGACTATTCCTTGCGCTCGTTGTGCGCTCTCTAGCACTTGGGTGACCACTGGTCCCATACTGTGAGGCCCTGTTATCTCTGCGCCCAAGCCAGAATCTGCCGTGGACGAAAACTGCCTTATCAATTTATCCATCACTTCCAACACATCCGAGGGGACTCCACTAGATGGGTCTTGCTGAATTATTTTGCGCGCTAGGCGTAAAGCAGAGTGCAGTTTCTGGCTGTCTTTTGTGTCGAACACAAAATTTCCTTCCACGGAAGCCGATAGCCAAACTTCTAAACCATCCCTCAAAACGTTTCGGTTAGATTGGATCGCCATGGTGGCTAGTCGTTGACCGAGGGATTGCAACACGTCCGTTGCATCGACGCTTAACTCGTAACTCTGGTTATGATCTGCCGCTGCTTGCAGAGACTGTAGCAATGACTTCTCTGTGGGCGAAAATTGAACAACCTCTTTTAACCCGGGTGACATTTGATAAGTGGCCCGGTGCAGAGCATCTACGCAGGTAGTTAACTGAACCACCGACTCTGGTTGTAAAGTTGGAGAGTTGCATAGAGTAAGTATTCTTCCATATTCTTTATACACTTCATCAAGAGCTTGAATTGTGCTTGACTGATGCATCTGACTGAGCCCAGATGAGGCGGGTTTTCCGGTTGGCTGTGTACCTGTGGCTACTGAGGTTGAGCTCTCAGCCAAAGGCGATGGTCCCAAAGAATCAGTTGAACTTATCGGCTTAGTTGGACAAGATAATTGTTCTACTACTCTGGAAACCACTTGTTTTACCAAATCAAAATTGAACGATCTTGCTGAATGTTCCGTGGAGGATGGAGTTTGTACATGTGCAAGGGCCGCTTGGAACATCATTTGCTCCGCATGGTGTAGACGATCTTCATCCTCTTCGTTTAACTTTAGCTGCCTGCTGTGTTGTCTCAAAACGCGTACCTGCTTTAGCAAGCCAACAATCCTCTCAACTCTGTTAATGGCGTTGTTCGCATCGCATAGATTCTCTATCTGTTGGATTGCATTGAAAGCAACGCTATTTGCAACTGACAGGTCATTGTCCTCTATGCTTTCTTGTTCCACAGGGGCGATTCTTCGTAATCGGCGACCATTTTGTCCATATGAGTCAGTCGGAAGCACATGACTGATAAGTTCCAATAACCTCCACACGTAACTTACATCCATCTCAGTCTCTGTAACACAGAACAAGCGGTCGGTGAATGCTTTGAGTAGGTCTATGTCAATCGAGTCCAAACTTGTCTGAGCAGAGTTGTCTTTCAGTTGGTCCAACAAGACATTGCTACAATTTCTCAAGTTGTCAAGAATGCTTTGTTTACTCTCCACAGACAAGACATTATGCAGCGTGAACGGTTCCCCGGCTGCGATGCAGTAACAAAGAGCAGACTGTAACATGGTCAGTTCAGAAGAACAACTACCTCCAGCAGAACACAGCTGTTGTATTACGGTAAGAATGAGCGCTGCTTCTCTGCAATTGAGACGAAGTGGGAACGAAGTAACGTTGAGTAGTGGAGAGTTGTTTTTTAGCAAATTATTCAGACAGACTTGTATCATGCTTAGATGGTATCTAGGTGGCATACTTCTATTTCGAGTCGGTGTAAATGATTGAATAAGTTGTTTCAATTCCGCTTTGTGCTGTTGAGTGACACACATGAGACGATCGAACGTGAGGTGGTCTAGTAACTGCACCAGAGCACAATATTGCCGCTGTGATAAAGGTGATCCTATAAGGTGATAGATACGCAACATTTGGAGCATTTCTTGCTGTTGCACTGAACTCAACCGGTTAGACCCTTCCTCCAGCTCGCACAGAAGAGACCGCAGCCGTTGGATCATGTGCTCGCTCATCTGAATCAGGAGGTGCTCCAGCACCTGTTGCACGGCTTCGCTTTCCGGTGTTGATATCCAGTATGTCTCCAACTTGGCCGCACTATATCGCATTCTACGCTCCATACGTTGAAGGATGTGAGATTGGTGTTCTAGTACAGAATGGTGGTTCTCAAGAAAGCTCAGGATCGACCGTAGCCCAGTAGTCCACGAGGCGATAGCTGTGGGTTCAGCACAGATGCCCAGTACGTTGTTAGTAGTTGAAGTGTCTAGTTCTAGGGAGGTATACATCAGGCTATTCACAGAGAATACAGAGGCTACCAGGCTGGGGTCAAGTATGGTGGCGACGTTTGCAGTTTTCGTAGAGCACAAAGTCAGCCGCAGAGCATCTCTCAGAGTATCTGAGATGCTAATGTACTCAGCAGCAGGACTGTTGCACAAATTTGCCAATGTATGTATACAGACCAGAGAGTCGTATGGGTGCTGTGGTTGGCCGTGCAGTACGGACAGTTGAAGGGCGTTAGCTAGTTCCACATTGTTCATGTCGGCGGTGATGTCACATTCGTTGCTGACGGAAAGTTTGCGAATGCTCGCTGTTCGTTGCTTTTGTGAGTCGAGAAGTAATCGCGTTTTCCAAAAGTTGACTAACTCTTGAATTTCTCGAAATTCTCCTTTCAATATGTGAAAACTTTGAGTTAGTGGGGATGCAGCAGTCCAGTTTGTTTCACTGACTGAGGCGGCGGACAGAAATGCGCAGACTGTACCTAATGCAGTCAGGTGCTTAGTTGAGCCGTCGGACTGCTCCTCGATGTCCCAGGAATCGGACTGTGTGGGCTGGGCGCTGGTAGTCAATATACATTGCAAAGCAGCATTCAGGGTAGCTGAGTCTGAAAGATCCAGACAAATATTCTCATCTGAGCTACTCATAAAGTCGTCCATGTATTGTTCGATCGTTTGTAAACCAATCAACATGTCGGCTGTATTCACTGAAACTTCCGCACACATATGCTGCTGATCTCTAATGTTGCACAGTGTGGCTACCATCAGCTGATTTTCCGACAAAGTGAAGACGCTCCCCGTGCCCAACGAACGAAGCGCTTGAGCGAGTTTGGCTAAGAAACCGACTCTGACCGGAGTGAAGCCGTATCGCAATGGAGCAACCACGGCTACACTCAGCGTGTCAGCGATTTTCCACCGTTCTTCAAAGCTAAGTTCATTGAAATCTTTTGAATCACTCAGAGCGCTCAAAACTTCATCTGCAGCGTTCTCCGCTTCGTTAGCCAGAACGGTCCTGTAACGTTTGCATGCCACCAGTGCCAATGTGCGGCTACGTACATCCAACTTCATTGAGTAACCTAGCAAAGCTGAGTTTAGAACACGCCAAACCAATCGTCTCAGGTGCGCAACCCATTTGGATGCCAGTTTTTCACCGTCCGGCCTGGAAGTCACCACTGTGATGACGTGGAGCAGGTTAAACAATAAGAATAATGAACCTGGTGGTAGAGACTCCTCCGTCTCATCGTTCCCCAGTAACTGCTCCAACATGTCTGGGATAAAAACGGTGAAGCCATCATGAGGCACGCGGTTCGAGTGAACAGGAAGTGAACTGGTCTCCTCCTCCGTTGTCCCCATTTCGTGGAGAGCAAAGAGCTTATCGGTGTTCAGCAACTCTCGAAGAAGGCTTACGGCCTCGGAGGTTAAGATGCCAGAACTAACCATTGCAGTGATGCGGTTTAGAAGGATAGTCTCATCTAAAGTGATGCATACCCGACGTGATAAATAGAGCAATACAATGCGGAGAGATTCCATGATCTGCAGCCTGTTTGCCTCTAGCGGATGTTCTTTATTTTCAGATGACCAGCATTCAACAGCGTTCTGTATGAACTGTCGAGCTTTTCTGGTCACTGAGATCTCGCAGACGCGGTGGAGGGATCGCAGTTGCTTGCAATCGTCCTCTGTCAGTTCGAACCCTGCACCTTCATACAATTCATCCTCGTTTTCACCAGAAAATGCGCAGGCGATTAGTCGATTCTTGAAATCTTCTAACTCACACAGTAACTGCCGCCTGGCAACGTCATGCGCACCGGCAAGTGTTTGTAAGGATGCTAGTAAAAGCGCGGCTTCGGAAGGCCACAACGGAGTCCCGTCCATCATTCTTTGAATGCATACAAGTGCCGCCAGCTGCTCCGTCAGACTTGGGTTTCCTGTTGGACTGCAACGAAGAAAGCTGGTGACCGCTTTCAATTCGGCCAAAGAAATATCCACTGGCACGTAGGCTTGGTGTGTGTCGGGTGGATCCACTGAGCCATCTGTGATGTCTTTACTGTTTTCTAATTCCAAATTAACGCTTAATAAAGGTAGCATGGTGAAAAGGGTTGGTGGATTTTTATGCATTGCATTAAGCAAACATCGATGAAGCTGGCCGGTGGTACTTGGATCGATGCGTTGTGTTGGACTCATAACTTTGGTGTACAAAGAATCCGGATATTCAGTTTGCACTTCCATGGCTATGGCTTGGATGAGTTCGAGTCGATGGATCAGCTGATTCCTCTGATCAGCTTCTTGCTGATTGCGAACTTGATTGATCTGTTCAAAGAGGTTCTGCACTGGCTCACCCACTAGGTTACTTAGCTCGGACATTAGTGTTGTATGGTTGTCCAGATTTGCTCGAATCAGCTTATTTTTGAGCATGTGAAGAGCACATCTTTGGTCACAGGTCAGACAAGTTTTAACGATTTTGTCGTTATTCAACGTGATTATGGATTCAAGTAAATCCACCGCTTCTTCCGGTGTCACAGTATGTTTCGCTTCCAACGTAGGGAGTCGGATGGATATGTTTTGATCATCATCACTTTTCGAGTCCATTCGGTCCACCTTCTGGTGCTTGCTACCGAGCAGCATGATACTGTCTGATAATGCTTCCGCCACAAACCTGGCTGTACACGGATCAAGTTGTATCAAGGAACTACATACGCGAAGTTGTTGAAGTACACCAGTGAGCGTCATTAGGTTGGCTTTTGACGGATGAATATCACTGTACAAAACCAATTCAAGAGAATTAGTGAGGAGTTCACAATCTGTCCCTTGTACCGTAATCATGCCCCTCTGATCGACATCGTGCTGTGCTTCTGAAATGGGAGATGTGGAAGATTCGCTGTCTAGATGACGGTCATACATCGAATCGACGGATTGTCTGATCATGGCAAAACTATCTTTTAGAGACTTTATCGTTTCTTCTCTAGCCACGGACGAAATATCCGAAACCTGATTTTGGATGCGTTCTATCAGTGTCCTTGGAATAGGTGTCGAATGAAGAACCGATTCGAGCAACTGACCCGCAAGTGTATCCATAGAATACCATGACGAAATCCCAGCCACATGTGAAAACTGAGCGACACGGGCGCAGTGAACAAATAACTTCGCAATTATGGCGGGTTCAGTAATTATTGGGTCCTTAACCGGGGTTGAGACTTCAATGATGTCGTCCGCAGCTTGTTGAAGTTCTGAGAGGGCCAACGACGGTGATAACGACAAAGGTGCTTCTACCAATTGATAGATGGCAGGACCGAAGTACTGGGATATTGATCCAACTGTCTTCACCTGCTCAGTTAAACTGGCTGCAGAACTCAAAGGACCCTCATCTCCTTGAGACCAAATCAATGTGGCCACGGCACCAAAAAGTCCCACGGCGTCTTGCTCAGTTGCACAACCTTGCGAGTTGCGGGTTGCTTCGCTGACTTCATCACGTACTTGCTTGGTCAGTTGTTGAATGCAATCATCTAGCTGGCTCGATAATATCTGGATCATTTTAGGATCTAGGGGGTGGTCCATCTCAGCTGCTCGCGTCAATTCCGAGACCATTTCCTGGGTGGCTACTGTTGCGTCTGACGTGTCCCGCATATCGGCTTGTGCAATTGTATGACGTAATACGAACGCGCCAAAACATTTTTCTGCCCTCGTTAGACCACCTAACTCCTGTGAGGTATGTGCGAGCTTTCGCCTTAGTTGCAACAATTTCAAAAGTAAAGCTGGTTTTAACGTAAGACTATTTTGTCTGTATTGAACGAAGGTGCCGTTAGAGATGGCCGCTTTCTGTGACCGATCGCCCACTTCTGACTCAGATACACGTGCAGTTGGTAAGCCTATTGAATCAAATCCATCAGCGGTCAATTCGTCTTGCAAGCAGTCCGGGCGAGCCATCAGTGGTTGCAACACTTGCCTATAGTTTTCCAAGTCTTCGTCACGAAAACATTCCTCCATGACACGTTTTAAATCAGCATCCAATCTCCGTTGTGCCGTGCGTATCACGTGCGTCGCATAACCCCGGAGCTCCGAAATTTGACTTAATGTTAGTGGTCCCAAGTTCTGGTGATCCGACGTGTAAGTTTCAAGCTGCTGCTGGGTAGCAAACTGTTTGAATACAGGAGGAGTTTCTACCTCTGGCAGACTGTGCTTTGCAGTTTGTAAACATGCCACCAAAAGTTCACTATCCTCTGGGGCTAAAAGCACAACATCAGTATCCAAATTATCGGTACACATCAGCCTGTCCAGAACGTGCTGCACTTTCACAAATGATTGGTAAACCTTAGCAACTTCTTCCTGACTGCTGGGTAGGACAGAAGTTTCTTCACATGCGTAGAGTTCTGTTGGTCTTTCTGCTATTGGTACGCATGCACTGCTTAATTCTCCATTAACCTTTGCTGCTGTGGTTACATGACTGTCCTCTCCTACCTCCTTTGCTGACTGGAGATTGCCACTGTCCGCTTTCTCCTGTACTTTATTGCCTTCAAATTCAGCTCCAAAGCAGTCTAACTGACCGGGATCCCAAGATAAATTGCCCTTTTCAGCGGCTTCTGAAAGCTTAGATAGCAAGTTAAATTCAGAGCATACGTGTTGAAAGTTGAGATCCGCAAGGGAGCGTTGTGTCACACAAGCCAACAAGGATGCAGCCGTTTGTAATGCTGAGGTAGCATCCTCATCTTTCGCTGTGAACCGTGCTGAAAATTCCTCATCATGCAGGTCTACTTTCTGGTCATTCGGTTGCAATGCCTTAGCCACAGTTTGAGCAAACCAACGCAAAAGTAATCTATCCTCGGGACATAACTTGCTACCAGAATTGTTCGCGGTCCGCTGAATGAGTCGAAGTAGATCGCTGAGCCTGTCTGCTGCAACCGGATACCGCTGCATACAACAAACAAGGATACCGGAGAACAATGCTTGTTGTAAGTAGACTGTTGGAATCGCCAGGGTAGCACTGTCGCTAAGCTTTCTCACAATTGACTGTGTTTCCCATTGATACGATGGCAACTTTAATACTTTTGCAGCGACATGTTTTATAAGCAAGCAAATCTGTCGGCTATCATTAAACTCCACTTGCTGCTGGGGACCGACCGCTGGATACGATTTTGCGACAGACAGCAAACAGGAACGAATAGTATTCAATTGTTCTCCTGTAAAATTGAAGGCATTTTCTGGATGATGTTGTAGACAAGCCGCAGCACTACTTAACGTGTGAATTGCAACTAAGGAGGAAACGAGCTTAGGTTTCTCAAGTTCCTTGTTTCTGTCATCTCCAATGTCCCCAATTACGGCTCCGTGGTCATGTTCCTCTGAGTGCTGACTGTGGCTCCTTGGCGGTGATGTCAAAGCGCTCAATGGGAGAGTGTCATCCGAAAACTCATCACGAGCTCGAATTAATGTATTGAACTGTTGTATCAGTTCGGGTGTCACTTTGACGGTGATATTCTTTTGCTGAATTTCAGTAGCAGTGGCGAATAATTGGCTACATTCACGAGTACCGATCGCGGGGGCTTGACTCAGCACTACATTTGCGAATTCATGAGTGTATTCGGAGGGTAGGTTCTCACCAACAGTACTTTCCAGTATTTTTGATATGTGAAGTAGACGTGCTGAATGAACGCCAGCCAGAGTGCCAGGAAGTTCAGCGATATCAGCAATACTTGGTAGAGTTTCCAGTTGATGCGTGATACTTGTGGATACGTGAGGCAAGGATTCATTCAAAGTAACCTTTTCCAAGCATTTAGTAAGTATTCTGGAATACGGATTACCATCTGACATAGCATTACGTAGCATCTCCAATTCTGTTGTCGAAAGCGATACTTGTGTTTGAGTTGAATCCTTCAAGCGGGAGTCTAAGGCACATAATAATGGTTCGATTGGCGCTGCAAAGCAATCACTTGTCAAAGATGAGGTCGGAGTTGTCAACTTCGGCAACTTCTTAAGGCGTAAATATGCTAAAATTGAACTAACGATACCACTGTTTACGGACACTGAAAGGTTGTCATCTTCCAATGTCGTATGCAAATGAGAGTTTTGAAGTTTATCTGGTGTCTCATTAGTCATTGAAGATATGTCCACTGATAGCGGCGACTTGCCTTTCGTTGATGAAACGCAGGCAGACTCTATTTTTACATCAAACTTATGATAATTGGTGTTGTTCAATCCATGCGAATTCGTTGGCGAGGAACGAAATTGGTACGAATGTGGTGAGGTACTTTCACCCTCACAGATGCTGGATTCAGGTGTACCATTTTCAAAAATAGGACTAAGAACGTCAGTCGATCTGTCGTCCTCTTTAGTCACAGAGTTAGAAGCACAGAATTTGAAAAATGTTGCGTCCATCTCGCTCTCTTCTGGCGTCCTTTCGAATCCATTGGCGTTCAGCACAGTTGTTAGGACATGTTGAATTAGTAAAGCTTCCTTGGGATCCAGTCTCAATACCGTGGAACCGTTGTTTGCGAAGTGGTTGCTTAAACTGAGCTGCATGCGCCTGACTAGCTCAGCTGAGAGAGACCATAAATTTCGTGGTTCCTTTGCCTCAGTCAATCTCAAAATAGGGTTGAATTGATACTCATGATTTGCGGTCTGCATAGCCTCTACCACTGTCGCGGCTTGCAAAGCATCCAGAACAATGTAAGGATCATAACGCCAATCGGACGACCTCGACGCGTTGTACAGAGCTATTAGGCTAGCCTTCATTATTTTTGAATCAAGTAACGATCGGAAAGTCTTAAAGCCATCAACCAAATACCCTGACGCCTGCGCCAAAGGTTGTTCAATCCGTACTTCAGGACTCGTGCAAGACTGCAGATCCATAGCCTTCAGAAGTGCTTCGATGTCCTTTATAATAGGCTCAGGGGAAACCTGCGTATAGCCATTTATGGATTTGCTTGCCGATTCCACAATAATCTGTAATTTGTACCTAAGTTGCAGATACCGATCTCTTGGCAGCCGTTTCTCAGAAGCAACCTGCTCCAGTGTCGCTAACAGCCATGCGCTAGTCCCTGTTTGTGAATGATCCAACACGGAAGCATCAGTGGACAGTTCTGGTAAGTCAGCTGTTCCCATGGGAACTGGAAGCTTGGCCAGATGCAACGCCTCTTTCAAGCGCATGCGTTCTTCCATAGTCAAACAAAAGGTCGCTCCTGCAGTAGACCGTTCAAGCACACTCCCCACGCGATTTATAATTGACCGCAAACACTGAACTAAAAAACCAGTATTGTCCGCCGCTAGGGCTTGATCATGCAGCAGTGCCTTCAGACTGGGCATAGTCAAAGCCAATTCACGTAAATCGAGGTTTTCTGTAGTCAGGAGGCTGTACACGTGCCGAAATTGCGATGAGTCGGAAGACATGTTGTGATATTGGGGGAGTGCATTGTTAGAAGTGTCGAAATTCACTTGAGATGAGCGTCCAATATCACCAGGAACGGAAGTGTTGCTAACGTGTTGACGTCTTTGAATGTCTTCTGGTAATAATCTCGCTGTTGGACCCTTTCTAACAACAGAAAATGCATCGTTAGTGAGTCCAGTGGAGAAAGACACTTTTGTAATCTCTGATGATTTCTGAGCTTCCTGTGAATGAACCAGCAGTCTACTGTAAGTGGCAAAATTTCGACTGGCTGGCTGCAAATTGTCAGCAGGCTGCGACGTGACCAACTTGCCTTCAGTGCTGCGACTTGTCCTGTCAGCATCGGACGAACGAGATTCGGCCGCAACAACTGGTTTCTGATGTGCATCCGATACGTCATCCGAAGAATAAGTAACATGGGGCGATAACTTGCCCCGTCTCCAAGATTGTTTGCATCCGGCTGATGAGCATACTTTCTCTGTCAAAAGTAGATGGTAAAGAAAGCATATGAGTCAATTACTTCAGTAAAGGTTACGTCAAAGATTCTCGGATAGATACTAAATACAGTCGAAGCAAATAAAAGTTAAATTTGTATCGTTCCAGCACGCAAAGGATTGTTTGCTATATTGGCACTAATCTTGCATTTTCGCGCCTTTTTCTGCATTATTTTAAGTAAAACGTATTTCGAAGGTACTTCGTTACACGCTTTGCGTACGATCTTACAACGCAGCGAAGGTCAAATTTTGGTCTATCATTGTGAACTAGGTGTAATTAGTTTGGTTCATTTCTCTAGTTAAACCGACCAGCAGCTGCTTGTGGGACTAAGTTTTACGATGCCTAAAGACTAAATGTGGTTTGTCACTTTGTGTGCTGAGACCTCCATTTGAACGGCGTAATCTGGCGAAGCGGTAGGTGGCTGCATTTAACAAGCGCGGTGAAAATTTACACTGCTCGCAAAGGCAGCTGCTTACAAAATGAATGTTTTTCTTTAGCAGAAGGTTTAATTTGACTGAAAGATGCATTGAATAGTAAATTGGATTCTCAGTTAAGTGGCATAAAATTATGAAGTGGCTAGTTGGAAACCGAACCCGGTTTGTTATAAGGAGGTGGTGTGATGAAGTAAGAAACGATGGTCCTTAATCTTCAAAGTATGCACCTAAAGTTTCAAAATAAGGTCATAACTATCACTGTTCCAGGATAATATCATTAGTACATGGCGGTGGAAAAGATAGTGTCAAGAAGAATGGTGCGAGACGCAAATATTTCTTATTCTAGCTCCTATACTTATCATCACTAACAACAACTAGTTTCTATTCGAGGCAAAGATCTTGCAGTACACAATATTAAATCGATTGCATGGGTCATCTTGAAGCTCGCTTTAGGCGAACGGATTATGAACCGTAATTGCAATGCGGATCACGCTTTTACTTTGAAGTGAGCTTGAGTCAATTTGTCAATAGGATCGCATCTGAAGCAAATGGATGTTGAATCTGTTACTACCTACGATATCACGCTGCACGACCAGATTCGAACTTTTGTTCATCAGATGCAGATAGCAGGCATCGAACCCGGGTCCATTTGGATGTTAACTAAAGCTACTACTACCACTAAACCACTGACTCACGACAGGCAACCCTTGTTACAACGGGCAATGACAGACTGGAGGGGTTATTTTATGACTTTTGTTTTGTGCATGGATTGTGACGCGCAATCTCAGTGTTAACCCCGATTCACGATGTAGTGAACTCGATACTCATTGAAGTGAATCTTGGTCAATGCGATTAATCGGACCATGACTACTGAAGCAGGTAGATATTGGGTGTTGCCTCACGACTGGTTTCGCTCTTATTTGATCTCCTCAGATAGAGATCTCAGTCATCGAATCCGGGACCATTGGAATTTAAGCCGAATCCCATGCTGCCTAGCCATTAAGTCATGACGGGCAACGCTTGTCACAACAGTTAATGACTGATTTTAGTTGGGCAAGAAATCTGTCATAGAGTGCAGTGTAACACCCACCTTCCCTCTACTTCTTAGGATATTTATCGGGGATCATCACTTCTGGGGTTCAATTTGTCCAAACGACATTCCGTAATAACGTCACACCCGAGCCAAAATTGAATCTTAAGGGTTTGAATGATAAAATATTGGACGAGGATTCCTCCATAAGCGATAGTTACTTATCCCCTGTTACTTTGAACTAGTGAAGAGAACCGTGTAAGCACCTTTCCAAATTATTTGAGAATGCTAATCGATCTTATGTGACATTGTCTTCAATCCCTTACTAGTTGCACGTAAGTGGCCGAAGAGCATGCATGCAATGACACTGTCATTCAAAAGCCTACGTATTCTGATATTTTATTTGAAACTGCACAAACTACCTGTGTTTCAAGTATTGTACTAAGATGCAAATGCTCTCCAAGATAGTTACTACATGCGTCTCAACAGGTTCAGCCATCAAGGAAATAAACAATTTTTCACAGCATCGCAATACAAGCGGAGGTTGAAACGAAGAAGTAGACACAGAGACCACAAATTCACAAATTTTATGGTTGTTTTGGAATACGCAGCATGTGTCTGAATTTTGATATGCAATCTTAATCGGTGTACAGTCCATATTGAGGTACATCATATTTTATCCGAAATAAAGAACTTTCAATGTTGACGTTTCCCAACATTGACACCCTGCAATCGGCTCCCTCCTCTTTGGGGCTCATCAGACAGAGAACCAGGGCTGCGAGTCGGACTCGGCACGTACGTATTATTTGGCGTATATACCCCTGATTAATAGGCCATTGGCTGGCTTGCCGAACAACCTCCCCATGCTGCCAGCTGGGTGGTTCGGGATTTTCCCGCTCCAGTAAATGGTTCGGCGGCAGTGTTCCAGGACTTGGTGGGTTTTCGCTTGGCAAGCGTTCTCCATAGAAAAAGCCACATATGTCCGTTTAACAACCCTGCGACCTGGCGGAATGTGACTCGCCACTACAGAAAGTCGCTGCCCCTTGCTTCATCCTGGCGAGGCATTGTATTCCAGCAACTTTATGCTGTAATTCTGGGTAGCATTGGGTCCCTGTTAGACAAACGAGCAAACGAAATGCGTATCAACTGAGAAATCATTCACCGGCTCCCAATGGGCGCGATTCCCTGAATTCGGTCCGCCGATTTGCGTGTAGGCTATTCAGCCAAAGGCTCGGGGTGGTGTCCCCTAAGTAAACATCCTACTTCGGCTTGGGCAACCGGGTAGTATCTCGCCCTCTGACGCAATCCTGCACTCTGATGCGTTGTTTTGTGTGTCTTTTACCATTTCGGCACCTTCTTTTTAGTCCCATGGTTTCTCATGGCTCTATGTCTATTTGTAGACGGTTGTAACATATATATATATATATATATATATATATATATATATATATATGTACGTGCCCCATACTGAGGCTGATGCTGCATTCTTGATGCTTCTTCACCGCAGTTGGGCTAAACCAACTTACACTTAGACTAGGTCTTTTTAAGCTGGATAACTTTCATTCCACTTTATTTGGTTTGTTCTGCTTACCTGAATAATCTCCTATTAACTGGCCATGTTGCTTACGATAATTGCGCTTATCTTCGGTAACTTTGTTGCGTTTGTAGCATTTTTAAGTAACTTGTGGACATTTTTTACTTATCGCGGATTCGTTACTAACCAACTTACTTCATATGCTAATTTAGCGAAGAGTTATGCCACCGTATCTGTATGCACTATTCGATTTATTTTATTTCATCTTGTCGTTCCAGGTGATTGGCTGTTGCTTGACATCCCCGGTGTGACTGCGCTTGATGTGCATATTGACAAGGTGCCTACCTGTCTATTACCCATCACCTCGTTCATACTGGCTCCAGGAGACAGTTGGTCGTTGCTGGAGGGAACGGGGTGCACGGTCCTTGTGGCTGTGCTAGACTCGAAGAGTAGTGCCATGCACTCAGTGTGTGTGTGTGTGGGGGGGGGCTACAGTCCAGACAACGACTTGCGCGCACTCGATTCCACAAGTACAGCGTGCTTGTGTTTGCCTGTGAAGGAGTGTGGGCCGACTCCGTTGATGAAACGTGGCTCCCATCCACATGCCTCCCGGTCTTATTCCTTCGGGTTTAAACGGGATATTTGTTGTGTGGATGGAGCTGTGTGTGGTGCAGAGCAAACCGCCTATGGCCCCTCTGTAGGTGCAAACGTCCTGTGTCTTGCCACAGTGACAGGCAAATCCGAAACCGGATGCCGCCAACCATATATATATTAGGCCATTGAGCCCCGTGAACAGCACTAGACACAGGGGTTGGAATTTCATCGTTGGTCATTAGAGTAATCGCCGTGTGTCTAAGTTGTGGCACGCAATCTGAATTGGAGCTATCGTTTATTTGGTAGTGAGCCTCGGTCATTGTTGTGCGACCCGAATCTCTCGCGAAGGTCAGTGACCTAGTCAGTAACTAGTTAGCTGAATTTAGGATGAGAACCATGCCGGAATTAAAGCTCAGTAAGCTAACTAGATTTCAGAAGTGATAAACAGGAAGCTAGGTAATTCGTATTTGATTTTACAAGCCCAGCACCCACCAAATCTCGGATGGGTATTGGGATAAACCTGGAGGTGAACCCGCCATTTATCGGGGAACAACATCGGGGATGTCATCACTGGACTCAGTAAACTTCATCAACTGACTTTGGCGGGTAAAATGGAGTTAACATTAAAAAGTTTAACCTTTATTTATTGAAAGTTTGGTCGGACCCTCCTATTAGCTAAAAAATACTTCAAAAATATTCTGTTTTCGATAGCTCAAAGTCGGTACTACTGCGTCAAGTCAGTAGTACAGAATTACCAAGAATACCGGATGGTAACGGTCCAGTGATGGACCATACCAACGCCCGCACAGGAAACGAACACTTGGGAGCAGCAGATGTATGTGCATTAGAAATTGATAGAGAACCGGTGTGCACTACGCAATCTCCGGGAGCGAGTTCGAAGACAGTCGGAAGGATTGGTGGCATATTTGGAAATGTTTGATGAGGTTTGTTACATTCGATATGTCCGTTCGCACCTTGGGTCCCAACAAACAGTCTGTGCAAGTTGTGACTCTGCATCAACCGTATAGGATTACTGCTGTTTTATAGTCATGGCTGACAGATTCAGGTCTAGTAGTGTTTCGACCTGTCATTATTTCGTATGGATTCGGTTTGCATACAGAAGTTTAAGAGGCATTTTTCTGGTGACATTCCGTCATTGTTCGCTTCCACAGCCCACAAGGACTGGCAATACTTGCATAAAGATACGTTTCAGAAACCCGTCAACAATCATAATATAATTCAGATAAGGAGGAAGCTGCAGTAGCTCTTCAACTCATATAAAAGTAGCATGCTGAGTGCGTCCATAGTGACCATGAATTCGAATGTAGTTGGAGAATTTTGCAGTCTAATAAACTGGGGCACCTTGGTAACGCATCGTCAACATTGGGGCC